AACGGAAGTTTCCTATCCCTGTAACTCTAATATCTATGGATATGGTGGGTGGGCGGACGGAACTATACACGGGTGTGTTCATGTCATTTACAAATTTTATATTTGCATCTAAATAGTCATAAATCTTGACCTAACAAGGTCATTATAGGTAAATTTGAGTGGGTCGCAAAACAAACCATTTATATAAATACAGGACACAAATAGAAACTGGTATTTAAAGACTTAATTGAGTCAGTACGTCTTATACTATTGGTATAGGAACAAACCTTATACTATTGGTATAGGAACAAACCTTATACTATTGGTATAGGAACAAACCTCATCTCCTGGACTATAAGTACCCCACACATTACTTGATAATAATGACAAATGAATAGTCTTGGAGGTGATACAGCAAGTGTTGTGCTGATACTTACCGATGGGGAAATAGGTGATCAAACAGCAACTATTAATGAAGTGAGCAAACATCTGAATTACTGAGCCTAATGCGGAGTGCATAAATGTATAATGGCTTCTAAAATTTGTCAAAACTGAAGGAGGATCTATTTTTGCTACTGCACTAACTGCAGAGGCCAAATATAAATACATTATCACAAAATTTAGAGAAATTATTTTTATTGCTATATTATTTGTTGCTTGGTCTGGTGACTGCATGATGATATAAGAAACTGTTTGTTGTTAGAAGAAACTGTTTGTTGTTAGTGAATTCAAATTTTACAACAATAATAAATCAAGTGACTCATGCATGTGTAAGATGGTTGACAAAATTATTACGAAGAATCAAAATAGTAACAAAGAAGAGGGCTCAAATCACACAAACAAAACATGTGTTCCAAATCTTTCACACTGAGCATGCACACTCACCCACGCACACATACACACAATAATAAAGTAATACACAAATGTAATAATCTCTGAGAGTTGTGTTTATATAAGTCATTACACATGTATAGACAATAAATATATTTTGATTGTACCTGTATGCATCAAGTATTATGTGTCATGTGGTTTTACCGTGCTGAAAAAGAGATAAAAGAAGAAAGAATAAAAAACAGTTACACTATTAGGTATTAGGATATCATAGTTCTGCCTATGGTCGTCAGGAGTGGTCAGGAAAACCACCTCAACAAATGAACCAACCAGTTCATCACTTAGACCGTCCATGCAATTAATATTAATAACCATGCATAAAAAGCATGATATCGTAGTCTACTAGTCTGGTGTATATGAACTTAAAATGAAAAATATTAGTCTCCAACCATCTTTAATTTTTTTTCTAGGCAGAACTTAGGGATATTGCCCAACTGCCAAGAATTCTACCTTCCTGTGCAGTTTTGGTTTAATTTCAATATAAACAACATATGCAGCTAACCTAGTGCACTAGCTGCTCCCTCTTCATTTTCTACAGCACATTATTGACATGGGCAAAACAATAAGGAGCAAGAACAGCAACAATGATGAGAAAATATTGTTTATCCAAATGTGAACTGCCACTTTCATAAGAGCTACCAACAGTTGACGAAGCGCTTGTAGCTATAGGGGACAGTTATAGAAAACATACAAATTCCCCAAAACTGATAGACGATAAGTTGTGTAAACATGTAGTAAATTATAACAAACTATTGATGGTGTAGTAGATCTAACAATAGCTTTAGCAATAATGACAGTAGATTTACTGATTGGTGTATTACTTTAAATGAAGCTAATAGGTCAAATGCTTGCAGTTAGTATAATAGTATTACTTTGAAGGCTGATAGTAGATCCTATGATTGCTGTGGTACTATTACTGTAGAATAGGAGAGCTTATAGTACTGGTAGGGAATTTTTACCATAACTAGTAGTGGCAGAATTACTAGTGAAAATACTCTAAATAGCAATGCTATACAAATACTGTAGTAAAAGCAATCATACATAGTACTATAGATAAATAGCAACATTTTTTGTATGCACTATAGTACTGCTAATAGTCAGTATGCATACATGTATGTCCAAGACCTACCGTAATACTGTATAGCGGGAAATTTTGGAGGGAATTAAATTTGGCAAATTTGGCATTTCAATAACCATCCGCCAAAATAAAATCCCCCATTTTGAGCCATTATACATATGCTCAATGGCACATGGCCACAAATTTGTAGATCATCAAAATTTAGTAATTTGCTAAATTTTAGTCCCTCCAAAATTTCCCGCTATACGGTACCATGAAATTTATGCAACAAAATTTTTGCAAATTTCATTCGTTGCAAAAAATTAAAATCTCGAAATTCTGCAGCTCCATTGCAGGATTTGAAAAAAATTTTTCTCAAATAAATTTCATGGTATAGGGTAATAGTACTACACTAGCTGTACATACCAGAAGTACTGGAAGTAGTTAATCCAGTTACTGTTCCGGTTGATCCAGTTACTGTTCTGGTTGATCCAGTTGTTGTTCCGGTTGATCCAATTGTTGATCCAGTAACAGTTGGATTCATAGTATTACTAGCTGCAATGGTAGGATATACTGTTGAGCTTGTAGAGCGTGCTTCAAGTACATTAATAAATAATTTGACTCCATCAGCACAGTCATTTTCTAAATAAGAATTGCACAATTATTGTGTATGTGTGCCTGTTTTTATTACCATAAGTGCTGTAAAAGTAATATCTCCTTCCAGTTTGATATACTCCAAAATGGATGTAAGCGGAAAGTTGTGGGACACCTGCCTGACATTGACCTATAAATACAGCATGCACATTTAAATATCACATGTTAAAAGTATGGGAGTCATTATGTACCAATAG